CGCATTGAAATCCTTCATTAATAATATTAGATTGCATTATACATTTAATCAGATTTCTAACAGTATTGGGCTCTAAGTTTTAAGTTGTCTTCAATATCATCTGCTTCCCTCCTCGCTCTTCATCAAAGCTTCCTCTTCTTCAATATTCGTCTTGCTGAGGTACCCCATGATGATTGATCTTCTTCTCTTCATCATCTGAATGCTCCTATTTCAAAACATAAGATCGGCTTTTCACATCATCCACTCTATGCTGTTAGTCTTAACAACTTGCAATCGGTTGCGTTCAAACCCCTAACTTCTTTGAAATAGCCTCCGATACTGCGAGTGAAGAAGACTGTTTCGTTTCACAAAGACATTTCCTTTTGCTAACTGAACAAAATCATCGTAACACCTTTCCTGAAAAAAAAAATGGTGCCTCTGCTTTCATGTGTAGTAATCGTGCAACCAACGAGACAGCATAGCTGAATGATTCTTGCAATGCCAGGCGCACAGTTATCAAATGTTAAGCTGGCGACTTAGCATGTTTCAATTAACAATTGTTGTGCTGCTACAGTTTGCGATTTCCAAATATTTAATCCCAATCAAATTGTAACTCTATGATCTATCTACTCGGCATCGATTACATCATATCATTGGCATTGATTACCAATACAGAAATTGATAGGCTGAACTTCTAAACTTACCGGAATGGAGTGGGCCTGACGGCCACTGGCAACTGAGCTTCACCATGATGTAATCCATTCGTATAATTTTCACGACGCCATTTTTTTTGCAACAAATTGAAGTTTCACCTGTAATTCGATGTCTAAAGAAGGTGCTCCCGAGGCTCGATTTCGACACTTCTTGTGATTACATGGACACCTCAACTTATTACCATCCATAAAACTGGGATTACCAACTGCAAACTGTATAAACGCCTCCCATCCTTGCAGGAACTCGTCTTAATATCCCATTGACCTCGAACTTCAAGTACATCCAATCTCGATTATTTTGCATTTTTTTTACCTAATTAACAATGTGTTTATAATATACCCATCCTTGATCTCAATTTCATAATTAAAAATATTTTTAACAAACCATTTATGTATACTTTGAGGAGTATACTGGATTTTTGGCAAATCCACCGCCATCAACGGATTTGATAAGTCTTTACTGTCTACCGTTTGAGACAGTAAAGACTTACGCCCTGGGTATAGTAATAACATACACAAACACAAACTTAATATATATATATATATATATAGCTACTATAATAAAGGTAAGTGTATTATTCTACATATTGAATTTATTGAAAAAAATTCGGCAGCATTTCGGCACAACGCAATCAAATCTCAAATACAAAGACACTTCAATAAACACTTCTATAACATATCAACATTCTCCAAAGGCAAAATGGCCACTACTAGGCCTCCAATCCATCCAAACTCATCATTAACAGGACTTGCTCAAACAACAATTATCACAACAAAGTGGCACGTTAGGATAAAAAACTGCAGCACTCATTACAATTATCACAACCCTGATTCAAATTCAATTTCAATTAACCTAAAACGCAAAATTCAATTCTAGTGAGGGTTTCTTTTTAATTTTAACTTGGGCAGTAGTGGAGCAAGTACATGTTGATAATTACTATAACTAAACAACGCGTATTTATAAAAGCCCATAATTCTTTGGGCCCTTTAAACCATCGCCTTATTAAATTTTATTAAATTGGGCCCCAATGAGCCCACCTCTATCTTTTCTTATTAACTAGCCGTTTAACTTTTTCTTTTTTTATTTAACTTATAATGTTAAAATTATTTAATAAAATATTTTAATTGAAATATAATGAAAGCATTTTCAAACAAGTTGTCGTTATCCATTAGAAACGGTGGAAATTATTAAAAAATAAATTAACAAAACAATAAATTAACAAAACACCACTTTTGTCAATGCAACTGTAACAACAATGACAAGTAAGTTTATTATTGAGAATGACAAATAAATTTAAATTATATATATATTTTGTTTGTGTTCAACGTATTTTAATCTTTATATTTTGACGTAAGATGGTAGACCTTGCGAAAAATAATTTTCTGAAAAGTGACCATAATTATTAAATAAAGAGTTGGTGCCACATTATTTCATAATTTAAGAATTAATTAAAAAAATTAATAATAAAATATTTATCATATTGATGTAAATATGCTAATGAGAATCCCCCAAAAATCAATACTTTCCCTCATCCAAGGTAACCAATTACGTTTGGGAATCTTTTGTTGTTTGTTTATTTCTAATAATTTTATATTTCTATAATTAATTAATTTTTATTTAAATATTTTAAAGAATTCTTTTTTTAATGTTATGAAATCTTTGTAAAAGTAATGATTTTTTTAAGCCAACCTCCCAATCCCTCTATTATTGATGGTTTATTCTAATTTTCATAGATTTAAAATTATTCATGTATAATTATGATTATAATTATATATATATTTTTTAATAAATTATGAATGCCGATTTAATTTGTATTTTTTTAATTGTAAAATACATTTACTTATATGTTTTTTCATTAAATACAAAAGATGATATTATATGAATCATTAACTTTAAATATGGATCATTTTTCTCTTGCCAAATAAATTGGAAATATTTATTATTGTAATTAAAATTATTTTAATTCAACTGACATATATTATTTATTTTTTTTCATTTTGAAATTTCTCTATATATTCAATTCAAATCCTTATTAATTTTTTTTATAATTACAGGAGACATATAAAGATTTAATGATAATGCAATTAAATTCTTAATGAAATGAAATTATATTATATTTTAATTAAGTTAATCTTATTATTAATAAATCCAGTTATTTGATTAATGTTAATTAATTATAATAAACAGTCACAGTAACAATAATAATAAATCGAAATAATAATAATTAACAATAAATAATAAATTGAGAAATAATAACAGTTAACAAACAGTTAACAATATTAACGAAATATTAATAATGATTAACAATAATAACAGTAAACATAATTAATAAATTGAAAAAAAAAAACAAAAAATCGGCAAAAAAAAAGAATTTCGAAAAAAAAATAGATAACAGTAAGACAACATTAACAATATTAACAATATTAATAATTTAAGTAATAACATAACGATAATAATAAATTGAAAAAACACAAAAATCCGCAAAAAAAAAAAAAAATTGAAAAAAATAAAATGGTCACCGGCTTTACCTCAAATGCTGTCCAAACGGTGGCGAACGCCGTAGAGGAGTGACTGGAACGCGTCGGTGGCGGCGGTCACAGTGGCTGGAGCGTTTCTCCAGGAGGCTGGAGGCGCGCTGGCGGAACGGAGGAGAAGAGAGGAAGAGGAGAAGGAGAAAGAGAGAAAGAAGAAAAAAAGGAAAGGAAAAGAAGAGGGCGCGTTTAAAGCCCTAATATTTGCGACCGACTCATCGGTCGCAAATGTCATTTAAATCGGTCGCAAATTTTAATTGTCCGACATCGTTTTAATATGCGCCAAAATTGCGACCGATCTGCGACTGAAATATGCGGTCGCAAAAAATCAGTCGCAATTTTATCTCATTTCGGTCTCAGATTGTGTCCCTTTTTTTTACGCGCCCATTTTTGCGACAGAAACAAAGTTGGTCGCAAAGCGGTCGCAAAATCGGTCGCAAATCCGCAGTAATTCAGTCGCAAACTGAAAGGCAAAGTCGCAAACCTGAAAGGTAATCCCGCGCCGAGTTTTACGCGCTAAAATCTGCGACTGTTTGACCAATCAGTCGGCAAATGTCGCAAATTGGTATCCATATTGCGACCGACTTTTGTCGGTCGCAAAAATCGGTCGCAATTTGAAGTTTTTTTTGTAGTGAGTCTTAACGGTGGAACATTGGTTTAAAGGATCAAACTTATTATAAAATAGAATAGCTCAGTGGCAAAGAGTATTTACAGAGTTAACTATGAATTAAGTTATTGGTTCAATCTTTCTCTGCCATGCAAACTCTTCTCGGATCAACTCCTTTACTTCGGGGATTAAATTCTTTTTTATATACTAATAAACTGTATTTTTAGATGAATTAATTTTACTTATAATCTCAAAATTGAATATCAACGCAAAAAAAAAAAAAAAAAAAAAAAAAAAAAAATCTCATTTTTAACAATTCTGTCTTCAAATAGAGGGATGCAAATAGTCCCATTTTAAGTGTCTATTAATCAGAAATTAATAACCAAATTAAATTTAAATATTTTAGATTCAATTCATTGAGTGAGATAAAATTAAAGAAATCATTAAAATGAAAGAGCAATTATTATTATACCGAGTCAAAAAAAAAAAAAAAAAAAAAAAATCTCATTTTACAATTCTTCAAATAGAGGGATGCAAATAGTCACATTTTAGTGTCTATTTATCAGAATTAATACCAATTAATTTAACATATTTTAGATCAATTCATTGAGTGAGATAAAATTAAGAAATCATTAAAATGAAAGAGCAATTTATTATTATACGAGTCATGAAATATTTTAATACGAAAAAAATCTTGTTTTATTTGCAAGTTCGAAATTCGAAATTTGAAGTCACCAATATTGAAAATATTTTACTTTAATACTATCCCGAGTAGATCGTGATAATATATATACAGACAAAAACAAGTAACACGACAAAAACATTCCTTAATTAGCCATAAAACACTACACAAACTCAATAAAAATTGAAAATTCCAAAATTAGAAACAAATAAAAAGGTTACATATTAATTTCCTTTTAGCCAAAAATTCGGAAAAAAAATAAAAAAAAAAGGAAAGAAAATCAAAATTTTGAGAGCCAAAAGTTTTTACCAAATCAACCGTTTGGCTTCTCCGCGGTTTTTTCCTAGACATGCTTACCCAAGAATGCCCTCACTTATTAGTAGTGTCACTAATCAAGTATTGGGATATTATAGTAAATGCAAAAAACCATAACTGTCATGACCTTGTAATAAATAATTAGAAGAAGAGCAACAGAACGGCGCGCAACAGTGTCGAGAGGGAAAGAATTCTACGTGGCAAGAATTTCTCTCCCTAAAAATTCGCTCGTTTTCTCTCTAATAAAGCACAGCTTTTTGTTTCTTGCTTTTCAGGCTTTAGCTTCTTTGTTGCCAATCTGGAGATTCTTGATTGACCTTTCACCTCTTATTTATACATCTCAATCGCACAAATATACCAAATGCCATTCTGTTTCTTGGTCTCTGAAACATCTAATGTCTGAAATCTCCTTTTGAAGCTAATTGTTGCTAATTATAGGAGCCATCTTCGCTAATCAAGAGAAATTCTTTTTTCCCCTACCAAAAGTGTTTATTTCCATTTCTTTGCTTCAATAGCTTCCTAATGCAGATTCTTGGCGTTTCTTGATTTCCCATTTTCAATTTCCTTGTTCTTCTTTACCTTACTTTGGCATTGCTTTAAAAGAATTATCCAAGAAACAGAAGTAGAAACAAAAACAAAAATAAAATCGTTGTTCTGTCTGTTGCCGGAGTTTTGTAGAAAGATTTCAAGAGATCAAAATGTTCACCGGATTATTAAAATCGAAATTCTATACAAAATGGTACTTTATAAATCTTAATTATGTCGTGTTCTCTTTTCATTTTCATGGTGCTCTGTTTTTTTTCCCCCTTTTTGTTAATTAAGGTTAATCCACCTTCAAATTGTTACAGCCACTCGCTCATGAAGATGACGAAGACGCGACTCGAGGCGTTAAAGAATAAGAAAAGCTCGGTGATAAAGTTCTTGAGGAAAGATATGGCTGATCTTCTAAAGAACGATCTTGATTATAATGCTTATTGCAGGGTCAGTTTTCTTCTTCTTCTTTTTTATTTATTTATTTATTTATTTATTATTTATTTATTTTTTTTTAGTTTTCTGAATAATTTATTATTAAAATAGTGAGGATGTTCAGGTTCAATTGTTTTTAGCAAACAATTCTTATCAAGAAGATATGTTCCACTCCTCCATGGGTGGGTTTGTGTTTCTTTTTGCCATTTCCATTTCCTTTGATGATTATTAATTTGATTACTTGAAAGAGACAAAATCTTTAACCATGCTTGCATAAATAGCTTCACTTTTTATATTCTCATTTTTAATCTTTGTTTACCTCTGCAACTTGCTATTTTTTTCCTGCAATTTGTCTGGCATTTAGATTATTAGAAAGTGATGATAAAAAATATTTTACTTCATTTAGTTATGGCACCTTGCAATTGTCTGCCTCTAATTCTAATGTCTTCTTCATGACTTGCACAAGCAAAATAACAAATTGTGGGTCCCAAATTTTGTAATAGCCACCATGGATTCACATGTGCCCTTGTCTGGTTCATGCATGTTTTTTGCTTCTAACCACATGCCCCTTGTTTTAACTCAAAAAACGAGAAACAGTTTTTGTTTTCTGACCCAATTGTGATTATGGATTTGTAATTCTTGTGCTAGGTTTAGACCTTTTAGTCATCATTTTCAAATCAAATTTTATTTTGATCATAGAGAGAAGAAAATTTTCCTTTTCTTTTTCTGAGTCATCATTGTTTGTTAGTCTCTCTTCTGACTTAGCAAATGGCAGGCACATCAATGTTTATAGTTTATTTATTTATTGATTATTTTTAGTTATGGTGATGCAGGCTGAAGGACTTCTGGTTGAGCAAAGGATGAGAGCGTGTTACAATTTCATCGAACAGTTTTCTGCATGTATCTCCAGTCATATTTCAATCATGAATAAACAAAAGTATGTTTAATCCCAATTTGCAGTAAAATTTATTGTGGGTTATGTTCGTAATTCTGTGATGAATGTGTCTGCACATGAACTTGCCACATGAACTGAACATATGCGCAAGAATTAGAAGATGAAATCTGAAACTTAATGATGATGGGCAAATGATAATAAAATGCTTTGAAAGTTAACAGTAGTTTCTATATGGCAATCTATCATTGCACTTAATTCTCTCTACATTCTTTTTCTGGTGCAGGGAATGTCCTGAGGAATGCAAAGAAGCTGTACAATCTCTAATATATGCTGCAGCAAGAATTGCTGAATTTCCAGAACTGCGAGATCTGCGAAGTCTATTCACTGAAAGATATGGAAATTCCCTCGAGCCCTATACCAATAAAGAGGTCAAAGAGATAATTCTACTTCAATTAAGATAATTTTTTCATGTTTTTTGTATTTATTGCTGATGTAGCGAACCTTTGATGTGCAGTTTGCTGAGATGTTGAGGCCAACATCTGCCTCAAAGGAGATGAAACTTCAATTAATGCACGAAATAGCAGAAGAATTCAGTATAGAATGGAATTCCAAGTCTTTGGAACAGAAACTCTTTAAACCACCTTCCACTCAAGAAGTAAGCCTTCAGGCTATTACTGCTTAATTTCCTACTAAATTTTCATACACATATTCTCAGGAGATGGATAGCTTTGTCAAATTATTGCCCTTACTGCATTTCCTTTTGTTTGGCAGGATCAGCACAGGCCCAAAAACAAGGATGATATTGTTGTCCCGAAAGCGGACTGCCCAGATGTCGATTTGGTGAAAAGGGACAGCCATGAGACAGAAAACAAAGTGAATGTTATGAAGCTGGAGAATTTCTTTCTGAGCAACCCTGAAAAAGAAATCGCCTCCTCTGGCGAAAAGAGGAATGTGATTGATGAGAGATATAATCAGCCAACCAGCAGTGAAGATGAGATAAATTCAGTTCACAGGAGAAATAACAGTGACTTAGATAGCAGACAAGCTAGTTCAAGTTCTGTAGGAAGTGTTTCGGAGGATGAAGTTGAAAGCAAGAAGCCCCTTTACTACAAATTCGTTCCACCCCCTTATGTCAAACAAAATGTTGAAAAAGAAGCAGGCAAGATTGAAGAACCTGCAAAACCAACAGGCCATACTGATGATTCAGTTAATGACGCTAAGCCAAAACCGAGATCAGTTCGAAGGAGACACTTGCAGCCGCCTCCAGGTCATGAAAATCTAGGCAATGATGCAAAAACACCAGTAAAGCAATTTTCAGGTCATGAAAATGTTGACAGCGCTGAACCTGGTGGATTAGCAAAGACTAATGCATGGGCAGAGAAAGAAGAACAAACTAATGTTGTTAACCAAAGAGATGAAAAGGATTACAGCAAGGACAAAGTGAAACCAACTCAAAAAACTATACATGATAGTTATAAGGCGTCAGGTCGAAGAAACAAAAGTTCAGAGTTACCTCTTCCGCCTGGCAGAGAAGCAATTAAGAAGGCATCAAAAAGGCATAATCGTGCAATTTCATTGCTTCAAGAGGCATTGACTGGGCATGTGCACCCTAACTTGCCTGATTATGATGATATAGCTGCTCGGTTTGCAGCTATGAAAGGGAGATAAAAGATGATGATGGCATTAGGTGGTTTAGTGTTCTTTCCTGTTATTAAAAAAAAAAAAAAAAGAAAGAAAGAACAAAATTAAAAAAAAAAAAAAAATTAGAAAAGAGAAAAATTTGCTGTTCTATTGATATACACAGGAAAGGAAAGAATTAGTAGTTTGCTATAGTTTTCTGATTGTTTACTTCTTTAAATTTGTTATATTCTATATGGAACAATACATATATTCATTCATTGATTATTATATAAACTTACATTCTTGTTGTAAGTCTTTCTACATTATAGAGTTTTCTGATTGTTTTCAGTTCTCTGTTGGGATGGTTTAGTGCTAATTCATCTTGGTTAGTTGAAGATCAATAAAATAAAAAAAAATAAAATAAAAAGAAAAAAAATATGCATACAGAAATAGAAAATCATAATTGGGCTCAATGGGCTGGATCTCATTTAATTTCAAGTGGTTACGGACTTTACTGGACATTTCATATAAGTTTGGGCTTTACAAAAAGGTGTTCTGATCCAAATAAGATGATTGAGTCAGAGAAGGTTGAACGGAAACGTTTCTGTCTGTATAGGACAGAAAAGTGTCTCCATCGGCGGAAAGATTTACTCTCCAACCAAGGGAGTAAAGCTCTTGCTTTGTTACTGCGGAAAGCCTCCTCACCGTTGCAATATCACCATCTCACGTCTCGGTGCCAATGGACGCCTTAGATGAAAGGAAGGAGGAAGAAGAAGAGCAGGTGATGAGCGAAATCCACCTCGGTTGTCCACCTGGCTCCTCTGCACCCCATATTTCCCACTTCACTATCTCCATGCCACCTGGTATTCACAAATTCATACTGACTTTTTGATGCCTGCGTTTTTTTTTTTTTTGCATCAATTTTTTTTTTTGTTAGGGTTTGCAATGAATAGTAAATAATAATCTTGTTTGTTTTTATGTAGATGTTGATTATAGCAGATGTAAGAATTTCTTTAAAGAGGAACAAGTAACTGTGCACCAAGGGGTTTGTGTGGACGAAGATGGTGATCTTGTTCTAACTAGACGCAACTGTAAGTCTATGGTGGCTAATATTAGGCTTGTCCATTTAGAAAATTAAATGAATATTGCAATCGTAAGATTGATAATGTCTTCTAGCTCAAGTTTATTGCATTTATTGATAGAATTCATATCTACAGTGAATTTATTTCGTTCTTCTCAGATTTTTCAACTCTCAGTCTTACTGTAACCATCCAGCATAATCTCACATCATCAATTCCAAATGTGGGGTTACAGGTGATGATTTGTTATGCTGTTTTTGGCTTATACATAATAGATGATGCTATATGACCCCTTTTCTTCTTTCAGGTTTGGAAGGCAGAACTGGTATTATCTGACTTTGTGTTGCATATGATGTTTACTTCATCTGAATTTGATGGGATTTGTTCACTAGAACTTGGTGCTGGAACTGGTATGTCGATAGCCAATCCCTGTATTGACCTTTTTCTTATTCTCTTTTGTTGAGATTCTAATCGTCATTCTTAATAACTGAGTTTCAGTAATAGCCAGGAGCTGTGTGGATATTTTCCTGTTTGATTTTTGACCATATAGTAGCTTTCAATCTAAATCTTAAGTATTTCTCGTGTGACAGGATTTTGTTTCACTGTCTTTACCAGGGCTTGTGGGTATGTTGCTTGCACATGTTGCTAAAACAGTGTTCCTAACAGGTATAGCATGGAGTCCTGTTGAACCTTATCATTCTTATCAGACCTCAATATTCAATAGACTATATTTTATTTTTCTTATTTATATGGTTTGTTCATGTGTCAATTAGCTGTTTTGAAACATTAATATCGTCAGATTCATGATCAATTACCTTTAGTGGTGTTTTTTTTTTGCCGATATTTTTTCTAGAATTGAACTTTTATGTTGGCTTAACTTCCTTATTGCTTAGTGTTTGGTTGGTTCCTTGAGAAAAGCAATTTGGAAGTGTTTAGAAGTGCGTAGCCAATCCCCAGAATTATTATTTCCCTTGAATTTCACGTTTTGCATAGAATAATATTTGTCACAATGAATTGATGTTGAACAGTGACACGGAGTCAGTGATAACAATTACTTTCTGTTGCTAGGTGTTGTATATCCTTTCTGTCTGTTACAGTCTCTTAGTGATTGTCTGTTTGGAAAGGTCTCTCAGAACTTCTTTTACTTTATCAAATTGTTGATTATTGTGATATAGGATTTGTTGCATTTCATTATCATAGTTGAGCAATAAAAAGCAAGTACTGAAAAGTCATAAAAAAAAAAAAAGTTAGTGCTTTCTTTTTTTCTCACCTCGCAGACAAAACTTCTATGGTCATTGACAGACCGTGGTGATGAAATCCTGGACAACTGTGCAAGGAATCTTCACCTCAATTCTGAATTGTTAAACTATCGAGGTGTAATTCATGTACGTGAACTTGATTGGATGAATTCCTGGCCACCTGCCTTATCTCTTGGAAGTTCTCCTGATCATAGAAGGTACACTAGTAGTTGGTATTCTTTTTATGACTTCCGATTTTCTTTTTCTTTTCAATTTTAAATATGGTTTACTAGGGGAATATATTTGAAAAACTTAACACATTTCTTGTTGATAGAGGAGTTGCTTGTGTTTTGTTGATGTTGTACAACTGAAGAAGAGGAAGTCTGTTTAAGAGATGCTAGTTTGTTCCTGGAAGAGGAGGGAAAAAAAAGATGCTCCTTGTGTGAGTGATATTGACTCTTACAAAAGATAGTTCTAATCTTTATAAACGGAGTAATATCTCAGAATCAAATTTTAATCGGAAACTTCAATATAAAAGGACAGAGGATGCAGATCCACTACTTTGTTAGAGAATTTAGGCCTTAACTTGATATCCTATCTGGTCAAGCATTTAAGGTTACTCTGTCTCCAAAGATCTCTAGTGTGAAGAAAAGAAGGTTGGGAAAGAGTTGCAGAAGTTGGCCACTTGCATCAATTATGGGAAGTTAGGAATTTGAAGTGATAGCATAAAAGAATAACACATGAAGATTCTTAGATAGAGAGAAAGTCCAAGAAATAAGGACTGAAACAAGATTGGGGCGTTGTTTTATTTTATTTTCCTTTTTTGTTGGGTTGTTTATGTTGCTTGGTTTTGTACTTTGTTTCTTTAGAATGATGTCTCATATTGCATATTGTAATCCTCTTTAATTCTTTTTTAAGAAAATTTCTTTTTCTCATAAAAGAAATCACATTTTCTTGGATGTTGAATTAGGTATTCTTGGACCTCAGCCGAAGTTGAAGAAGCTCAGGCAGCTTCTTTGCTTGTTGCTGCAGATGTAATATATAGTGATGATTTGACAGATGCTCTTTTCAGTATTCTAGAGAGACTGATGTCGCGGGGTTCAGAAAAGGTATGCATTGATAAATAAAAATTGCTAGCAGCAAGGACTACATATTTGAATGAGTTTCAAAAGGGTTAATGGATACTTGCTTTGATTTTTTGCAAATCAATATTCAAGGTCCTTAACCCATCCATTAGTTTATCGGATCTCAAAGGATTCTTACCTCTAGGGTTTCAGCAATCTTTCTGCTAGGTTTATGTAAGAATCTGTCAAGTTCCACATTCAGTAATAAAATGAGTTATTTTTCTTCATTTCAGGTTTTATACTTGGCATTGGAAAAGCGATACAATTTCAGTCTTGATGATCTAGATGTTGTTGCAAACGGTTATTCGCATTTCCTGAGTTATATTAGAGAGAAAGGTAAGCACGTTTCCAATTTCAATATTCTCTTCTGGGTGTTACCATTTTTTAGCTTATATTATGGCAATGGATGATGCAGAATGTGGATCCTACCCTTGTTTTGTGGGCAAGCGCATTGACCTTTCATTAATTCCACAATATATGAGAGAGTATGACAGAGGAAATGACGTTGAGCTTTGGCAGATCAAGTTTGTTGGAAGAAAACCTAAATTGGGAGGTTCTTGCGAACAAAATTTCATTTTCAATTCCAATACGTCTTGTGACTAAATCCAATTCATGCTTAATTTATTTTATCTATATATAGATCAAGTTTGTCTGGAAGAAAACCTACAATTGGGAGGTTCTTGCGACAAAATTTCATTTTCAATTCAAATAGCGTCTTGTGACTAAATCCAAATTCATGCTTAATTTATTTTATCTATTATATATATTATATATAATATATATATATATATATATTATACATATATACCATATAAGTGACTTTTTTGCACCTCGTGTACGATCATACTCATAACAAGCAAATAGCCATTTAAACTTTTTTACTTTTTTTTTTTTTTTTTTTGGCTGCGGAAAGACATTGATATCCTCTTTTATCTTTTTTTTTTTTTTTGGCTGCGGAAAGACATTGATATCCTCTTTTATCCTATGTTCCTTTTGTTGCATGGAGGACTCAAATTTTAGCCTATTTTCAAGTCAAAGGTTTTAACATTAAATTAATCTAATTCAATATATTTAGGTTTAACTACTGCAATAATAAAAAGCCGACAGTATCTTTATGTTTATATAATAATATCAAACTTGAAAACTTTCTTTCGAACATATTTTATGAATAAGAGCACTGGTGTGATGGCAGCAATGACAGCATTATGAAGAGCATCTGCAAGTATAAAAAGTAGGGTTAAATGGCTCAGCGAAAAATAAGTGTAGCAAAACAAAAGATGAGTGAGGCAGAGGCAGAGCAGCTGCTACTTGTGGATTGGCTTCCAAGTCCATTTGCTGCTAGGGTTCGAATAGCCTTAGCAGAGAAAGGATTAAAATATGAGTCTAAAGAAGAAAATTTTCCAAACAAAAGCGATCTTCTTCTCCAAATGAACCCTGTTCATAAGCTACTCCCAGTCTTAATCCATAATGGAAAACCCATTTGCGAATCATTGATTATAGTCCAATATATCGATGAGGTTTGGAACCATGAGCCTAAATTGTTGCCTTCTGATCCTTACCAGCGAGCACACGCCAGGTTCTGGGCTGATTATATCGAGAAGAAGGTTAGTTAATTAATCAATATATTATCTAATTTTCTTCTTTTTATTATTTGCAGATTAGAAATTATAATTAATGAGTTTTTCTATTTCATTTATGGTGTCTTCTTACAATGCAAATTGGACAACAATAGATTCACCAAAATACGAGGAGAATGGTGTGGGCGTCTGAAAATGAAGTCAAAGAAGCATCAAAGAAGGAGGTAATTGAAGGCCTTAAAATTTTGGAAGGAGAAATTGGAGAAAAGCCATACTTTGGAGGTGAAAGGTTTGGTTACGTAGATTTGGTACTTATCCCCATCCATAGCTCAATTTACACATTGGAGATGATGGCAAACTTGAGCTTGGAAGTCGAGTGCCCTAAGCTTATGAAATGGGCTAAAAAGTGTATGCAAAAGGAGAGTGTGTCTAAGTCTTTATGTGACCAGCTCAAGCTTTATGAAACTCTTTTGGAGTTGAGGAAGAAATTGGGAATTGATCAATAAATTGATCTAAGAGGAACTTAAAACAACAATATTGAAGCCAGATTTGTAATAATTTAACATTTTTGCTTGTTTTTTGTAATTTTTTTAATGTACACTGTCCTCAGTATCTTCCCCATATGGCTTTGCATTAATAATATGTTATATATATATATATATATAGCTTGTTTGTCACAATTACTTATTGATCACCTATACCGCCACACGACTTGTCGCGCAACGACAATGACTGCCTAAACGACCTTTCCTCGGTCACGCCTCTGGTTGTCGTGTATCCATATCGATGTAGGATATAAATAATCATATAATATATGCAGGCGATGTATAGGCAAGAGTCGAGACAAGCAGATGCCCTGTCAACTTTGAAATAGAAATTTCTACAAACATGGAGACTAATTAAGTGATGCAAGCAGTGACAACACTACAGAATCACCCAGAAAGAATTTACAGGAAAATTCCTTAACATAAAATTGCAGTATATATATACAATTAAAAACCCTTACTTCGATATCCCAAAATCTTAATTACAGTTTGAAAACAAAAACCTGAAGCAAAATCATGAGCGAGGGAGATCAGCTAATTCTTCTGGATTTGTTTCCAAGTCCTTTTGCAGCAAGAGTGAGAATAGCCTTGGCAGAGAAAGAACTGCAATATGAGTCTAAACAAGAAGATTTGAGCAACAAAAGCCCTCTTCTTCTCCAAATGAACCCTGTCCATAAGCAAATCCCAGTTCTAATCCATAATGACAAACCCATTTGCGAGTCAATGATTATAGTTCAATATATCGATGAGGTCTGGACCCATAAGTCTCCATTGTTGCCTTCTCATCCTTACCAGCGAGCTCATGCCAGGTTCTGGGCTGATTATATTGATAAAAAGGTTAGTTTTTACTGTTCTTTATTAATTATTATTCATGGTGTGTTCTTTCTTATCATGAAAATTGAAAATATGGCTGCCTACAGATTTACCCTATTGGAAGGATGTTGTGGGCATCTAAAGGTGAAGTGAAAGAAGCTTCAAAGAAAGAGTTGGTTCAGTGCTTTAAAATCTTGGAAGGAGAGCTTGCAGACAAACCATATTTTGGAGGTGAAAGCTTTGGTTACATAGACTTGGCACTTATTCCTTTTTCAAACTTTTTTTACAGCTTTGAGACTCTTGGAAAACTTAGCATGGAAGTGGAGTGCCCTAAGCTCTTGGAATGGAGCAAAAGATGCTTACAGAAGGAGACTGTGTCTAAGTCTATTGCAGACCCAAAGACAGTTTATGAAACTGTTTTGGGAATAAGGAAGCAATTAGGAATGGAAGAGTAAATTGATTTAAGAAATCATTATAGTTATGGATGTTGATAATTGGATTGCTTTTAGATTTCAAATTTTTAATCTTGTCGGTAAAATTTGCAGTCTACTCATTCAATTGCCTGTTGATTGATTTCTTAGTTTTTAGTTTACCTTTGTAATATCTTTGCCTTACGAATAAGAAAATGCTAGTATTGAGATTTTCTTTTTTTAGTCGAAATGAACAGTCTACACGGATGACATGAACAATAGAAACATTTATGGATTATAATTTTACAAAAAATGATATGAAAAAGTATCATTTATGTTTTATATACCTCTCCATACCTACACGACTTATAATTTATCTTTTCAAAATTTGCCAATCCTAAACGACCTGTCACTGAGTAATGCTTGCGATTTTGCTTATGAGTATCCATGTAAAAATAACATGAAAAGAACAAAAAAAAAAAAAAAAAGTGCGAATTTTCGGCTTATGAGTATCCATGTAAAATATACATGAAAAGAACAAAAAAAAAAAAAAAACCAAAGTGGGGCCATGGTTCGTTATCCATATAGCGAAACTGGACACGGCAGTCAGTATAGAAAAAAAAAAAAAAAAAAAAGTGGGGCCATGTCGTTATCCATATAGCGAAACTGGACACGGCAGTCAGATAGAAAGCAGAGGTGGCGTGAGAAACAAGGCCGCTGGGCGACGTAGAATTCCGGTGGCCAAAACTTATACTGATCAGAAATTAATCCCAAGCATGACCATCTTAGCAGAGTGATTTATTTTGTCGGAAGAAGCACATCCAAAATATGGGTGACGAACTGAAAATTGGAACCACATCACTGACAAATCAAACAAAGAAATTAACAATGGTGATGCTTCGAATTTGCAATATAAATATCTAGTTTCATTTGCCTCAGTTCCTCAAACAAAGTGCACATTTGCAGAGATGGCGATGGAAGTAATTCTGTTGCAAAACCAATTCAGTCCATTTGCAGCTAGGGTGAGGATTGCTTTGGCAGAGAAGGGAATAGAGTATGAGTCCAGAAAAGAAGATGTTACCAACAAAAGCTCTCTTCTTTTAAAATGAACCCAGTTAATAAGCAAATCCCTGTTTTGATACACCGTAATAAACCCATCTGTGAGTCCAATAACATTCTTCAATATCCAATAACATTCTTCAATATATTGATGAGTTTTGGATCCATAAATCTCCATTATTGCCTTTGATCCTCACCGACGAGCTCAGGCCAAGTTCTGGGCTGACTTTGTAGATAAGAAAGTGAGTTTTTTATTCTGGTATATATTTGAAATTCGTTCTATATTAGCTTCTTGTTAATATGAAAAAATTGCAGATCTATCCAAATGGACGGATGCTATGGTCTTCTGAAGGAGAAGTGACAGTAGCATCTAAGAAGGAATTGATAGAATGCTTCAAAATTTTGGAAAGTGAGCTTGGAAAAAAACCATATTTTAGAGGTGAAGAAGAGGATTTGGGTTTCGTCGACGTATCACTAATTCCATTCTATAGCTTATTTTACACGTTTGAGACACTTGGAAACTTTAGCATGGAAATAAAATGCCCTAAGCTTCTAAAATGGGCTAAAAGATGCTTACAAAACGAGAGTCTTTCCCAGAAATTATATGATCCAAACAAAAGTTATCGAGTTGATTTGTACACGAAAACGAAAATAGTGCACCTTGTACGAAAATAGTGTTTATATATTAAAAAAAAAAAAACCACAAAAACTAGGAGTGAACGGTAGGTTAATCTGAACTAATCCAAACTGAATAATTCAATCCAAATATGATCGAATTTCATAAATCCATTATCCAATCCAAACCATATTTAATATAAAATCGAAAGTAACCGAACCCAATACTATACGGTTTTATTACAAAAAATTGCAACCGTCCAAATAATCGGATTAGTATTTTCAGTTGGTTAATCCAAATCGATTACAAGAAAATATTCAAATCTAAAATTTTTCAATATATGTATTACTGCAGTTTGCACTCTTAAAGAAATTATATATATATGTTTATAAATTTATAGACAATTGTATAGAATAAAAATATAAATAATAAAATTAATTAATTCAACAAGTCACAAGTGTCCAAATAAAAATTACAAAGGCAGTCATATCTAAATTCAACCATCCATATAACAATTAATATAATTAATTAACATTAAAAGAAGCATTAATTAAACTTTCAGTTACAAAATTACAGTTAGTGACCAATTAAGCATGATGTTATTTGTCAATGATCTCAAAAGTTATACCTTATTGTTGTCACCTATCACAAAAACTATATAAATATAATTTGCACTCTTGGTTTTTATTTTACTATGGGGCGAGAACGGTGTCTTCCAAAAAAATATTTATGACTGTGGTGTTTTGTTGACATTTCAGGTGACATTTGTTACACTTTGAATGTAATAAATGTATTATTACACTATAATAAAAGCAATAAATTTAATTTTTTTAAATGTTGACCGATAGGGACAATCACTCTTTCCTTTCCTTGTTAAATGTTATACTTATAGTGTAACAATGTTAAAACACTATGTTGATGAGATTGATAGGTGAGATTCGGACGCAGGAATCTCAAGAATACGTTAGCTATTGTTACAGTTATGGTATCACAACCTTTAGAGTTGTAAGAATATGTGGTAGGTGCTATTGATACACTTACAATGTCCTTTAATTTTGGAAAACACTTTTTTCATAATTACTTTATTTTTTAACACTATTTTGGTACACTGAATTTTTGTTAATATTGAGCAACCTACACCTACTAATAGTAGTTTTTGATTTCGTGCAATACAATTGTGTGGGCATCTAAAAATGAAGTCAAAGAAGGAGGTAGTTGAAGGCCTCAAAATTTTGGAAGAAGAGACTGAAGAAAAGCCATATTTTGGAGGTGAAAGGTCTGTTTGCATAGATTTGGTAGTGGAGAGTACCCTAAGCTTGTGAAATGGGTTAAGAAGTGTATGCAAAAGGAGAGTGTGTCCAAGTCTTTATTGAGAGAAACTTAGTCAGATTAATAACACTTTTGGATGTTGTTCCTCTGTTTTTACTTTAACCATTGTTTTTTGTTTTTTGTCCTTTGCATCCTTCAAAGAAGCATCTAAGAAGGACTTGAGACAAGCCATTTTTGGAGGTGAAGAAGAAGGCTTCAGTTTCTTAAACGTATCACTAATTCCATTCTATAACTTATTTCACACATTTGAGACACTTGGAAACTTTAGCATGGAAATGGAAGCCCTAAGCTTCTATTCATCAGTTTTCTGTGATTTTCCTTTTCTCGGCATGCTGGAAGTATTTTAAACATGATCAACCTTTTAGTCGGCGCTCACATTGCATGCATGATTAATTAATTTATAGACTAAAACCTTCCATATGTATGGTTTATCGCTCCATATTTTGGTTTTTGCAAGTGGGTTTTTGATTTTGGATACTAAGTACCTTCAGGTAATTGACTTTCTTCTCAAATTTGATTTTTTTTTTTTTTGGATACTAAAACTCTTTTTTTCGTTCTTAGGATTTGTTTCAAAATGTCCAGCGAGGAGAGGAGAAGGCAACTAAGGGACAATGCAAGAGAGGCTGAAGAAACTGCTAAGGTTGCTGCTCTGGCAGCTGAGGCAGCTGATAAAGTTGCAGCAACAGCTTATGGAGCTAAACTTGTCAAGCTTGCTGAATCGGTAGCCGCAGCTAATCCTATGGCAAAACCACCCACTGATGTGAAGCAGAATAAGCCAGTTTCAAAGGAGCATTAGCTTGAATCTGTTACTATATATATAGATATACCTATATTTCCCTTATCAGTTGGTTGGTTGTTATGATTCTTAATTACGCATTAACTAATTAAGTTGTGTTACCGACAAATGATCCACAAACCCTTTTATTTTGAATATTGAAGCATACTGCTTGTCTTACTTCAGTTAATGAATTCAATGAAAAGAACTATTTGCTATTAGCAACATGAACCTTTGTCTGTTCAATAATTTACTATGGTTTTTAAGGATTAATTAAGGGTTTTTAAGTGCCAGTGTTTCTACTTTCTACTGTAATAAATTTTAACATTTTAGCTATACTTAGGTAATTCTTCCAAAAATTGAAGTGAACCTTACTTTTACAGAAGCATTCAGTTTCATTTATAGCCTTTGTTGAACAAACAAATCTGTATACTAAATTTACAAAGTATAACATCTGATATGCATCCCTCAAAATCCAAAATTAAAGAAAAGAATCTTCAAGTAATGCAATTTTCCTTCTCCTACTCAATCTTCTTTCACCACCATTGAACAATTGAGCCTGACTTGTCCAGCTGAACCTGTCAAGACATTGAGATTTGAGAGCCTCACCATAGCATGAGCAAAGTCTCGGCGAAACAAGAAAACATCCGAAGCATACGCTCTGACCCAAGTCTCAGTTTCTTCCCCATACATTAGTTGCTGATCAGCAACTAGGATTCCTTTACCTTGCAGAAGACTGCGGTAGTACACACTGCCGAAATTTACTCCAGGTCCCTCATAGGCCATATTGATTGCTGGCTCCTCAACTGAAGAAGACAATAGTGAGCCTTCAAAGGAAACAGATGCTGTTGTAGATGGCGATCCTGAGGAAGACATTAAATCCTGAAAAGGTTTTGACGGTGCATATATTGTGCCAGTCCTTCCTGGCTTCTTATAAGATGGAGATGGTGATGGTGATTCCATACAAGAAGTTTTTGAGCCCAACCTGCAACCAAAGTAAGCTGGAAGCGCTGGTAATGATGACATTGAGGTGCGAAAGGAAGGAGGTGCCGCTGCTGTCACTGATGGGGTACTGTTGTTGCATATTGATCGCTTTTGATTAAGGAATTGAGGATCAAGCGAAGGATCAGGCTTGTTTGTCCCACGAAAGTTGTATAGACGGTCTTGGAAGAATTTACAGTGGATCACCCCAAAGCTGTGAGAACCTACAAGCAAAACAGAGGACAAAGGTACTAAGAGCGAGAAACTGAAGCTAATCTAATCAAACACGAGAATATGCAGAAAACTTGAATTCTGATCATAATATTTGTGCAACTAGCCAACGGTATAGAGAACATATAAACAGCAGCGATTAATAATACAACGCTCAATCAACTAGGTAAGGAACGCCCATAAAAGCAATACCTAAGAGACAGACAGTTTCTCTTTCATCAAAACCCTTTGCTGCAAAAGATGACAGGATCTTAGATAGATAAGCTTGTGGTGAAGGAAGCTCCATCGTTGCTGTGTCTGGGAATGACTCAGTACTGTCTCTTCTTCCTGTGAACACTGGATAGAATGGTCCACCGGCCTGAAATTCACAAATTTAGTGAGATTCTGAAAGAGAGAGGTAGAAAGAGGTGGAGAAGAGAGAAAGACACCTGAAGAACACTTTCTCTGGCTGATAAAACTATAATATCAGCACAAGAGACGACTCCAGGGCATAATTCTTCAAGCTGAGATTTGATCGAGTCAATTACATCAAATCCTTTAACACTTTGATTGGGGATTGAATCTTTCTCAGATTTTAACCCGTCAGCAGCATCCAATAGAATTGAAGCATCACAACCCTTTCATTAGAAACCAACCAAATCAACATTTTATAGCAGTTCAAAATAACATGGATTCAGTTAACATAATTGAGATGCAGAAATGGAGATTCAAGAAACCCCAAGCATGGATCAAAATTTGAACAAAATGAAACCCAGAACAATAATTACTGGGGTTTTACCAAAGCACATATCAAAATTGGAAGACGGAACCAAACCCAGCAAATCGGATCAAAATTCATGACATGAATACAATTTCACAGAATCATTGATCAAATAACAAAAACGAAATTAAATTAATGGGGAATTATATTAATCAAATGAATATCAACAGAAATTACCAAGAAAATTATCAGTAATGAACACTGGCGAAATATCGAAAATGAAAAAGTAATTCAGAAAAACGAAGAACAAAACAAACAAAAGCACATCATGATCATGAAGAATCTACAACTCTTAACAGAAATACCAATCATGGAAAAACCCATATCAATTTCATGACGAATTCAGATACTAATCTTTAAATTCAGGGAAGAATAACAATAATCACAAAACAGAAGCCCCAATTAAGAAAAAGAAACAATGATTCATCACCTCAATGAAACAATCATGGAAAGCAAGCCTCAAGAGAGCCGGAGCCACATTGGATTGGGTTTTGCAAATTTCCCGAATCGCCTCTCGTATGATTTTCTCTGCTTGTGGGCACGAATCCCTATAAAAATCATACTCCAGTGATGGATAAGGATTGGCTCCTTTTTCTTCGTACTCCACAGACAAGAATATTGAAGGATACAAATCCCACGAAGAAGATGACCAATTCCTGGCCATTGATGATGATTTGCCATTCTCGATCTTACCATTTTTGTTCTTGAGAGAGATTAAAACACAAAAAATGGCTAAGAAAAGAAACAGTTTTCTCATACTTCCACCTTGAAAGATTGGATTAGCCATGTTTTCTTGCTCGATAATATTACCTAGAAAGATTGGATTCGCCCTGTTTGCTTGCTCGAAGATTGGATTCACCATGTTTTCTTGCTCGATTATATTTAGATTGGTTGGTTTTCACGTTTTGTTTTTGAGGGTTTTTGTTCTGGGGAGTGTAGTTGCAGGGGTTTTTAACGGAATAGAGGGAACTGGCGGGAAAGTGGACCCGAGATTACTAAAATGCCATTGTTACTGGCAGTTCTTTTTAAGTTCATTTTTGATGTTGGGCGAGAATGTACTTCAATCTGTTAGCAAACTTGGTCGATCGTGGCCGTCCGATTATATGACATGGATCGTAAGAGATACTGCGATTGATGAAGCCCATCACTAATGATTGATGGACAGGAGTCAGGATTGCATCAGTATTAAACTATTTGAGTGGGCCAAGCCCAATTAGTATCAAGATTTGACTGGGCTAAGCTCAATTAGTATAAAGGTTTTCTTTGACAAATAGAAAAAAATAAAAAAAAATTCAAAATTATAATTTATAAATTTGAATCATCGAAATTCTTAATTATAACTATTCAATCTGACAATGACTTCATTTGGCATGCCAAAGATCTAACGGCAAGGAAAATATAATTCGTTCAATTGGAATATCAATTACAATATATCATCAATAATTCATTCAATTGGAATATTAATTACAATTTATTATCAATAAAGAGCGCTTAATATTGTTTTATAAAATATTAAATTCCCTCCAAATTAGCATGTTTTTTTCAATACAATATCTCATATTATAAACATAATTTTAACTTTATATTTATTCCACGTCCGATAACTTTCTTTTTCACATAAATCACATTCAAACAAGCTATTACAACGTTAATATATGCATAAATTAACTTAAATCTAGAGTATTTCACAGTAAAAACTTTAATATTTGAAAAAAAAAACTCAAACTAAAATTAGATTCTAGCAATATGAACACGATACCCTTAATAAAATATGAGAAGCTTCATTGGCTTGTTTATTTATCCATTCTACTACAATATTATTACTATTGGAGATGAAATTTTGAATTTGATAGAATTTAACTTAATGAATTTTCTGTATATACTAATATAGTTTAAAAAATAAATAAACAAATGCGAAAACTATTTTTTAAAAGATATGGGCAGAGCTATCCAAGATAATCACCGGTATAAAAAAACAGAAAACTTTGATGTAAGCAATGACGACATAAAGAAGCGCTTAGAAAGAAATGAGGCAAAATACCAAATCTATACGATTATAAGAGCCATTGATCGCAGCAAAGGAAGCAGGAAGAGAAGGAAAGTATCAGTTGAACTAAATCGAACACGTGCACAAAAATGGCAGATGAAGTAGTTCTGTTGGCTGCTAAGTTCACTCGTTTTGGCGAAAGGGTAAAGATTGCTTTGGCAGAAAAGGGAATTAAATATGAATTTAAGGAAGAAGATTTAAATAACAAAAGCCCTCTCCTTTTAGAGATGAACCCTGTCCATAAGCAAATCCCTGTTTTGATCCACAATGGGAAACCCATTTGCGAGTCGATGATCATTATCCAGTACATCGATGAGGTCTGGATTGATGGAGCTCCATTGTTGCCCTCTGATCCTTATCAACGAGCTCAAGCCAGGTTCTGGGCTGACTATATCGACAAGAAGGTGAGTTAAAAGTTAGATTCTTTTCTTTTCTTTTTTCTGTTGAAATTTGATTATTTAAGTGAATTGGTTATTTGCAGATTTATCCCAATGCAAGGATGTTGTGGAATTCTGAAGGAGAAGTGAAAGAAACATACACAAAGAACTTAATTGAAAGCTTTCAGACATTAGAAAGAGAGCTTGGAGACAAGCCTTTTTTTGCAGGGGAGAGCTTTGGTTATGTAGATGTGGCACTCGTACCTTTCTATAGCATCTTTTACACAATTGAGATTTTCGGGAATTTTAGCATGACAGTGGAGTGCCCTAAGATAGTTGAATGGGCTGCTAGATGCTTGGAGAAGGAGACTGTTTCTAAGTCCATAGCTGATCCTCTCCAGTACTATGAAGCTATTACAAGAATGTTAAAGAAGGATTGAAGTGTCATAATTATAATTTATAGCACCACAAGCTTTATTTATGGTGATTCAATAATAGCAAGTTGATGAGTTAAAAGAATCAACTTTCACTTGTTTTTTCTTTTTTTGGTTAAATTTACACTTAACGCGAATTCAATACCTGAATACTGTTGAGATATGTCGTCAAATAAAGTCAACTTAATTGTCATTTTCTTGATGGTAAAATAGCAAATTGAAACCCTGAATTTTCAGGGAAAAATAATAGTTATGACTCCCTAAAGGCTTTGGGCTTCATACGAATGTTTTCCACTAATGGGCTAACCTATAATGATGAAGGCCCAAAATTTCAGCTATGAAGCAGGCTTGTAACATTGCGGCTCATTTTCTGAACAGACTCGTTGTTAATGGTTGGTTCGGTTCGGCTCCCAAAGCCGCTTTATTTAAACAATTGCAAAAGAAGAACCAAACCTGAAAAGGTAATATACTGATATGTAAGAAGTGGCAGCAAAAGTACTTTTCATTCCTTCTCTCTCTCCTTCTCGAGGAGAAGGTACAGAAAGTTTTTAACTTTATGCCAGCCTGTCACCCAACCTATACAGATATACTGACAGTCGCCAGTATCAACTTTATGCCAGGTCAGCATTCGCATTTGCAGATTCTCTGCTTCGCGAACTACAAACTCTGATGGAAAAAATAGCAAATCAGGACAGTCCAATGTGTTGGCCTATTGGATTTGCCTTGCCACTTAAGCATGTGCAAAAAAGTAAGATTCGCAATGCATGAATGATTAAATATTCTTTTGCGCGTACGTACCACCGCCCTAGATAAAGGCCACTCCATTCTAGTTCTTCCTCTTCTAGATTTTTCTTCCAGTGTGCAATTTTCTTTTTCTTTTTTTTTTCTTTTAAATAATGCGTGAGCTTTGAGAATTTGAATGTGATTTTCAATGTTTTAATTTATATTATTGTGTAATTGATAATAAGTCTACATTTCTTTAAAATTATTTATCTCAAACTTAAATTTGTTAATTAGTAAAGTCTAAATTTTTTATTAGTGTTTGAAATGAATTAAAGTGAATTTTATTTTATTTTTAAATAAATTTTTATATTTAAATTTAAATAACTAACTTCTTTTTTTTTTTCATACGTATTTCCACATTTAAATAAATTTTGAATTTGTGATAACGTTGATCTAAAAATACTAAGTAAACAACTGCCGTTTCATGTAAGTAAAAGAAAAGGCACAAATGTCAAAAGTTTAAACCTCCAAAATTGTCCATCCCGATTCTTAGATTTCTCATTGATCAAAAAGAAAATGCAACATTACTAATCCTATAAATCTTTCTTTAATTTCTATTAAATGGAAAACAAGTTAACATCAAATCACCAATTCTACAAATAGATATAAAGTGTAAAATTTGATAAATATAAGAGTAATTCAATATAATTTTAAAAATTAATATTGAATAAATTCCTTTTATACAATGTAAAATTTATAATGATGAAACCTTTAGCAATATTTAATATTTAATAATTTAAATTTAAATATCAGAATTTTATTTGACTTTAAATATCAACCTTTAGTAATATTTGTCTTTTTGTTAATTTTTGATATTGAAATATGTTTTTGTTTTAATATTAGATATAAATATTAATCATTATTATAATAATTGAGTTTAAATGTTAATCATTTAATCTTGTCATTTAATTGTATTATTACAATTATAATTAAGTTCAAATTTTAGTTCTTCCACTAATATTATTTTTTCTGATCTTTCACTAAGAAATATATCGTCAATTTGTGGAGGTAAAAAATAAAAGGTTTGAGAGGACAGATAAATTTATTAAAGGCTAATTTTGTTAAACAATATTGTATAGAATGTTATTGCCCTGGCATTAAAAATTAATGCTATGAAAATAATACCATCCTTAATTAATTATAATGTTCAGTGGTAATTCATAAATAATTCATGGATTTTAATGTATAAATAATTATTTTCTACATAAATTATTTAAAAATAAATTGAATTTATGATGATTTATTTATTGAATTAAATTATATTAAATATAATTGACTAATTATATAATATTAGAGAGTTATTAGATTAACTATTAGAGTAACTATTCAGAATGGAGGAAAGCACACCACGGTAATAGTTTAATATCAAATGCATATACGATCTGACTATAGACCCTCAATATTAATAAAAAAAAAGAATCAACATGAAATAGAGCGAAACGATACTCAATTAAAAATATAATAATTCGATAACCAATCACTTACTTTCACCTTATGATTTTATTTTTTATTATATTCATTTCTCTTTATTTATATATTTTATTGATAAAATATCAAGAATTTTATTTATAGAATCCAATCAAAATGACGATTTTATATATTTTTTTCTTTTTTAATTTTATTTAACCATGCAAAGCACGGAACGACGATTAGTCTATACGCATATAGTGTAGAATTACAGATAGATACATATTTTTTTTCAGACAATAATTAACAAATTATTTTATTATTTTTCAAAAAAAAAAAAGGGCCTGTTTGACTTTGGGTTAGTTATTTTGGAATCCAGCCCCTCCCCTCGTAAGTGGTAATCTTCAAACCCGACAAATTTTATCAATCCCTAAGCCTTTGTCCATACCTCCTTAAGTGCTAAACGACCTCACAACCCAAAAAACGACATACCTCTCTCCTCTGCCGCTCTGCTTTTCTCCCAAGCCAAAAAAGCCAATTAGAAGCAAAAACTTGACTTGTCCTGCAATCTTACTCTCTCAACATTCAATTTGTGCAAAATCCAAAATCTCAAATTCAATTATATACAGAAACAGAAAATAGACTCAAAATTGAGAGATGGGCTGTACGCAATCCAAGATCGAGAATGAAGAAGCCGTGGCTCGTTGTAAGGAGCGCAAACAATTCATGAAAGAAGCCGTCTCCGCCCGCAACGCTTTCGCCGCCGCACACTCCGCCTACGCTATCTCCTTGAAAAACACTGGAGCTGCTCTTAGTGATTATGCCCAAAGCGAGGTTGGAGAACATGCCTCGTCAGCTGTTGCGGCCGCAGCAGCAGCAGCAGCCGCTGCCACTACTTCCTCTGTCGATACGCTTCCTCCACCTCCTCCTCTACCGACTTTCGAGAATACGGTGCCGTTGCAGCGGGCCGCGACTATGCCAGAGATGAAGATCCCGAAGCCGGAGTCGAAGCCGGTGGGACCTACCATAATGGAAGAGGAGGAGATGGATTTTGAAGCACACGATAATGAGAAATTGATCAGGAAGCGTAGTAGTAGTAACAGAGGAAGTGGCAGCAACAGAGTAGCTGTACAAGAGAATCACCATCCTCATCACCTGATGGAGCAGGGCCCACCTCAGCCACCGCCACCGCAACGGCAACAGAAACAGCAGTGGAAAGAGGAGGTGATACAGGGCCCAACGGCGAATCAGGGATCGTCTTGGGGCGATTACTTGTTTTCGGTGGACCACATACCGGGGCCGAGTTTGGAAGAGCCTGTGGTGGTTGAGCAGGAGGATTTGGGACGGAAGCAGTTTGAGGAAAAGGCTAATAGAGTACCACAGGTAGAGGAGGATCCAGTAATGGTGGTGGACGAGAAGGTGGAAAAGGCGGTTGAGGTGCCAGTGCCAGTCCCAATGCCGGCAATGGAGAAGAAGGCAGTGAAAAAGGGCAGTGAGGTGGGGAGGAGGGTGGCAAAGCCAGTGAATTTGATGCAGATATTTGCAGAGCTTGATGATCACTTCTTGAAGGCTTCTGAAAGTGCTCATGAGGTTTCCAAGATGCTGGAGGCCACACGATTACATTATCACTCTAATTTCGCAGATAATAGGGGTAATGGGTTTACTATTTTCGTTACTATTTGCCATAATTAATGAGTATATATTTGTTGAATTGTTTGTATCAGTGAAAATAGGGTAAGGATGGGTTAAAATCTATCTTTTGATGAGTTACTTGAAGGAATTGCTAATTGGTTATGTTTATAATTGAAAGGACCCTTGTCTATGTGCTGTAGGACATATTGATCACTCTAAAAGAGTGATGCGAGTTATTACATGGAATCGATCATTTAAAGGAATTCCTAGTGTTGATGATGGTAAAGATGATTTTGATACAGAGGAGCAGGAAACTCATGCTACTGTGTTGGATAAGATGCTAGCTTGGGAAAAGAAGCTTTATGATGAAGTGAAAGTATTTTTCTTTTTTCCTTTGGCTTCATCTATTCACCTTTTTCTCATGTTACCATGCCTGTTTTCATATTCACAATCTTTGAAGAGGTTTTAACTCACTTTTGATTGTGGAAGTTCTTGAATTGCCCAATGACACAAATTTTGTGTATAACACTATAAGGTAGCACATGTTTAGCCCATCTATATATCTGAGTTATTGTTTTTGCATATCTATGGCTGACTGAATGAAGGCCTTCTATGCAACCTTTGCCTAATCTCAAATATTTGTGATGTTCTTGGTTTAACTAACCACTGCAATGTGCTGCACCTTAGAATTGTAGCATCTGCTCAGGTAGAAGTTTTCATTACCTTTCGTAACCACATCCCTGGAAATTGGAAAACCTACTATCATATTTATGTAACTTCATAGCATTCATATCTCTAAACAAATCTTTGTATTTCGCTAGACCAATTTTTAATTAATTTTTGGATTGGTCAGTGAAAGACTTCAAATATTTTGTACTGACTTCACAGCATTTAGTTCACCTGCAACTGATTATTCTTCATAGAACAATGATCTTTAGTGGTTGTAATAATTAATAAGTTTTCCGACTTCCATGGATCAACATTCATGGCATTTTTTATCTGGTTATTATTGTTTTATATGTTTGAAGTATTAGTTTGCTAACTTTTGTTTGACCCCCTGTTTGTTGGCTGGAACTTTGCTGATGTCAATCAACTGTTAAGCAACCATTGGATTCACCTTAGAAACATACTGGAAACAGAAATTTTCTGTCATAATATCCCATTTCAAGAATTTCATTTATGATTTAATTTCTGGTTAAATATACTTTATTGGTAATATTGAAAAATTATACTCAACATTTAATATCATTTGACTGAAATTGAATCAAAGCAAACATATGATTCTAGAAGTCTCTTATAGATAATATAATACAGTTTTTGTTGCGTTGTCTGAACTTCTTTTATCCCTCCTTTTCTGAATTGCAAAGTAAATGTGATAATTTTCCTGTTTCAAGATTTATGATGAATCTTATATGGGGTTTGGCTGCTACTGGATAGGCAGGTGAAATAATGAAATTTGAATATCAAAAGAAGGTCGCTTCACTGAATAAGCAGAAGAAGCGGGGAAGTAACGCTGAATCATTGGAAAAATTGAAAGCAGCTGTAAGCCATCTGCATACAAGATACATTGTGGACATGCAATCGATGGATTCAACAGTTGCAGAGATAAACCGTTTACGTGATGAACAATTATATCCAAGACTTGCTCAGCTTGTTGATGGGTAAGTTGCATTATGAAAAATAGAATTTAATAGTTGAAGTTGTCTGGGATCTTTGTTTGACAAAAATAGACCTTTCTTAAGATTCTGTATCTCATGACAAATACATTGTATTTTATTTGTTGACAAGTCTAGTCTTAGGGTTAGAAGGGAGAATTGAAGATATATGACATTCTTACGCTTGTCCAACTTGAAGATTGAACAAGCTGGTCATCACATAGAAAAGCTGATATAACTAACTTTCAAATCCTGAATGATGTAGTGGCCTTTTGTCAACTCAAGCTCACTGCTCAAAATCTATTTTTTATCTAAAGCCCATTTTAGAGCTATTACATTCTCAAACATTATTCCAACCTCCTTATTTAACTGAATCCTTATTTTCCACACGCATTCGGTTTAATCCCATATTGGTTTTATAAGAAGTTTGGGCCTCACAAAGTGCAAGGAATTTCCAGTTTCCACATGGCCATTTTAAGTTTCTGGGTTGAATATTTAAGATTGTATTATTTGCATCATGTGGGGTTATGTTTCTTTGTTTTCGTTATCGTCATGTGTTTTGCAAGCTCTTTGTACTGCTGTTTTCATCATTGTCAGTTGTCATCAACATCAAGTATGTCACATGAAGCTGTAACAACTAAGAATCGTGAAGGAATTATTTATGGTTGTCTTTGTTCTTTCAACTTGCTTGCTTGGTCTGAATATTTGATGCAAAATATTCTAGTTTCATTGCAAAAATAATTAATGTATATTTCAGGATGGCCACCATGTGGGAAACTATGCAATATCACCATCATACCCAGTCCAAGCTTGTATACGCCCTGAGATCTTTGGACATTTCTGAATCCCCCAAGGAAACTAGTGAATATCATTATGATCGTACTTTTCAGTTGTGTGGAGTTGTAAGAGATTGGCAGAACCAGTTTTGTAAGCTTGTAGACCACCAAAAAGGGTACATAAAGGCACTGAACTCTTGGTTAAAGCTAAATCTCATCCCTATTGAGAGCAACTTGAAAGAAAAGATCTCTTCACCGCCAAGGGTTCAGAATCCTCCAATTCATGCACTTCTCATAGCTTGGAATGATGATTTGGAAAAACTTCCAGATGAAATCGCAAGAAGTGCAATAGTTAATTTTGCTGCAGTAATACAGACCATAGTACATCATCAAGAAGAAGAATTGAAGATAAGAGAAAAATGTGAGGCCACAAGAAGGGAGCTTGCACGCAAGACCAAGCAATTTAATGAGTGGAAGCAAAAGCATATGGTGGAAACACACGATGAAACGGATCCTGACCGAGCAGAAGAAAACCCTCATAGAGAAGCCCTAACAGATAGACAGTTTGTTATAGATGCATTGACTAAGCAGCTGGAAGAAGAAGAAGAAGGGTGTCGGCGGCTTAGCCAACAGGTGAGGGAGAAATCTTTGGCAAGTCTTAAACATCGCTTGCCGGAGCTCTTTACAGCAATGTCTGACATTGCTCTAGCTTTTTCAGCCATGTACAGTAACTTGAGGTCCATAGCGGGACACCAAAATCAAAGTCAGAACTCCTGAGATTTATGCGTCTCCATAATTTGCTTGTATACCCTTACAAAATAAGCCTTTGGGAAAGAAAAATCATTATATTATGCGTTCTGTAATTTGTAATGCTTCTGCTGCAATATGTTCAAGGAACCAGTCCTCAGAATCAGGTGTGGTGTTTTTTTTTTCCCTGTTTTTTTTTTCATCAAATAGGTGCGGCCAGAACTTTTGAAGGCACCTAATGTAAAATTTTTGTTACCTATAGCTTAAAGAAGCCAGTTATCTCAAATTGTAAAAGCTTAACCAAGTGTGTTATTTTCAGGCATCTAAAATCATTAATCACAAGATTGTTTTTCTGTTGTTGCTCTTGTTTTTTTGTTCTTTTTTTTTATTATTTCTATCATCAATTCTTTTTTATAGATTGATTCTCATTCGCAACCTCTTGTCCTGTTTCTGATTTTGATATCTTGTTTGGTATTAATCTGTTCTATGTGAAAATTCTAAAACAGATTATGGAACATATAAAAATGAATAAATAAATAAACGTGTCCTTTTTTTCTCCCTTTAGAGTAATAAAAATAAATATATTTCTGACAATTAAATAGCAAAAGCGGAGGCATAACTTAGTGATAGGTGTATATAGAGTAATAAAAATAAATATATTTTTGACAATTAAATAGCAAAAGCGGAGGCATAACTTAGTGATAGGTGTATATAGAGTAATAAAAATAAATATATTTTTGACAATTAAATAGCAAAAGCGGAGGCATAACTTAGTGATAGGTGTATATAGAGTAATAAAAATAAATATATTTTTGACAATTAAATAGCAAAAGCGGAGGCATAAGAATGTGAAATTTTATTATACAAGGAAACAACGGAAAGGGTCAATAGCAATCCAATTTAATCTTCATTTCTTGCAAGCATTTTTTTTGGTTCACCCTCATGAAGAGTTCCTTCACAAAAATTCATTGTTTAACTCAACATTAAAGAGACATTACAAGAGAAACCAAACAATAATCTTCATATCTTTTTTTTTTTTTTTTTTTTAAGTGGGAAGAAAACAAAGTAGTTTTATACATTTTATACATCAGTAGCATTCAAGAAGGCTTTCCAATATTGATTTTACTGGGATTTACATCATCCAGAGCAACAAAGTAATTTCTTCTGTTACTTGTGTTTCATTGCTTATATTCAACTCCAGTTAGGGTTCTGGGGGTGAGCTTCTTGCCAATTCTCTTTTTGCTGGCAAATAGGATAAGGAAATAACTATTTAAGAATTTGCAAAACCATAAGAAGGAGCAAGAAATATTCGTACACTCGTTAATATATATACCTATTTCGTAGAAAAAGTTCATTAATTATTATGTGCAGTTTTTGCAGATGTTCTTTAAAAAACATCCCATTCTCCTGAGCAAAATTGATCGCCTTCCTGCAATATATTAGAAAAAGAAAAAAAAGAAACAAGAAATGAATTTTAAGAATTTTCACCAGTCAACTTAACAAAGGAACTTAAAACAGGAAAAGAAAAAAAAAAAAAAAAGAAGCGCAAATACTCACAAATACCTCATTCGGCACTTCTCTCTCGGCGTCTAGATCAGATTTGTTTGCCACTAATGCCATAATTATTAGGATTTTCCTATCAACAGTAATATGATAGGTAATGTGCATCCAAAAGCAATTAATTAAAAAAAAAAAAAAAGAAAGAGAAAGTTCACATTTGTACCAAAGAACAAGAGACTAATTTTGGAATTAATGCATCTGATACCTTGGCTTTTGTGTTCTTGAAACCCATTTCTTGGGCTTCTGGTGTGTGAATGTATCCTGCAGAAAAAGACAAGGCAGGCCCAAACATTGAGCAAATGAATAGTAGAATTGCCCAATTTATATATTGGAAACAATGGATGCTTACAACGCTGAGATGTCATAGACAAGTATTTGCAAGCTGCTGCCCCGCGATAAATAACATAGAGCCAAGCTAATGGGATCTTTCTTGTCCTGCTGTGCCCATATATCAAATTTGGAGAGTTGCTTCAGCTAATGATAATATTTGAATGTGAAAAATGCTGCTCCTATGGTTTGGTTCCTGAATTAGAAATACCCAAACACTCCCGATTCCATCAACTTTAAATAGAACAAATTCACTTGGAAAAATCTCTAAAATGAACCTGATTGATCGAAGAATGGACCCCTTGACAAATTCTTAGTACCAAACTGGTTTTTTCCAGTTCCCATAATCCCCCAAAAGCACCTGAAAAATATAAGCAAATTAAACAAAATTTTTACGTTTTCTCAGTTCCTTTTGACCAGACACACAATCAAATCATTTAAGTCATAAGACACTTCAATAATATTAAAGGATATTGAAAATAACAAAAAGAAAAAACAGAATTAAAGGAAAAATAGCAAGGAAAGACATACCACCAGCTGGCTTGAATGATCCTATTGCCAGGTTTTGCCATGTAAATGGTTTGTTTCTTGATTCAGAAATGAGGACAACTGATTGAGAATTTACATGCGGGTGGATATTTCGAGATGATCAAAATTGCCAGTGGCTTTGGAAAAGGGAAAGAAATGTAGTTTGTCTGCTTTTACAAGCAAAACTTAAGTCTCTGTAAGAATGGTAGGTTTAACTGTTTTTTCCTTAATTGGAGGTTTAAGCTCATTTGACTGGTAGTTAGTCGTTGCTTGTTCGTCGTCGTTCTCCTCACTCCTCCCTCCATTTTTGGGCCAACTTAATAGGCCTAGAGCCTTATTTAGATTGTGTTGGATCCCACCTAATTGAATTCTTTTTCTGGTTTTTATTCTTTAGCGGACGCTACTTATTTCTCTCTGGGCTCCTTCTGGACCGTGGCCCATCTTTATGCCTTTATCTTACTTTTTTTTATTTTTTTTTTAAAAAAAAGAAGAAACAAATCTTACATTTTTTCTTTGCCAAATGGGAACTATGTGAGCCAACAGGAAGAAATTTTTTTTTTTTTTTTTTGAGGCAACCAACAAAATGATTATATTTTCAATTTTGCCAATTCTCGACCATATACTTTCCCCAAAGGAATGCCAGAAAGCATAATCATCATAATTATAAAAACTCTTGTCCCCACATCAAGAAATCCCAAGATAACCCAAAAGATTTTTTGAACATAACGCAACAAAAACAACAACTCGGAAGTTCCCTTCACAGTTTCCTTCAACTTCAAAACAAAACACATCCAAGAAGAAGAAGAACCCAATTCACCAACTTACCTGAAATATTCGAAGCTTACACAATTTTGGTTCCTCCACTAACACACTTCCATGGGCTCTATCGTCGAAAGTTGTGAACAGCAACAACAACGAACAACAACAACAATCTCCTCACGTACTACACTCCTATTCCATGCCAACATGATCAAACTACATCGTTTTTACCTTGCACCACCACCCCACCAGCCTTTCGCGGCCCTTCTAAGCCTATGATCATCACCATCATATGTCTCCTTCTTCATTTCCGGCTCTCTGTCTACCTTCTCGGCCGTCGGAATCCTAATCGGAGAATCGTACGGCTAAGCCTGCAACAAAAATAACATAATCCACACTTACCCATAATCAACATTGATGTATCTCTCTACGTGACATTAAAGTACGTAATTGTTTGATGTTTATCCATGGATTTGAGAAGACTGGATGTGGCTCTAGGCCTACAGAGGAAAGAGGCTTGGCATGTGAAAGTAAAGGGCAAAGGCTGTTAGTGCCCTAGGGTCGTCCTACGTGGATTACTGATCTGGGATCAGTGGGTTAGAATCCTGTCTGATGTGGTGTTCTTGGCTTGAGGACTTAGCATAAGGGTAGGGGCCCTTTGATACTGTTATTAAAAGTTTTCCGGGAGCTTTGGGTTCTTGTTGTTTGGAGTTCCCCTTAAAAAGGGGTAAATTTATTTTTCAAGTATATATTCTTTAGGGATTTTAGAATTAGAATTAGTATTGATTAGAAGTAGATTAACTGGATATGCATATAACTTATTGACATTGATTAGATTAGATTAACTTGGAAGCAAAGATTTGACTTTGATATATTGAAAGTTAGAAGAATTCTTGATCTTAAGCTTGATTATGCTTGACGTTGGATAGTCATATAGATTTGAATTGATCTTAACTTTTGTTGATAATTCATTAAACAGTCCTAATATTTTGTTAATTTTGCCACTTTTTTTTTTGCCTTATGATCTTCTGAAGCAGGCAAAAATGTCATGTTGAAGTGTTGGTAAATACAAACATCAGACAATAGTTTCGTCAAATTGTTACTCTGACCAGGTAATTAAGAAAGCTAATTTGGATATTAATCCACTTGTGGTAATAACTCAAATAATGTTCAAACAGACTCTAAATTGATAATTGTATTTCTTTGGTACAGAAGTGAAGATGAAAGGCAAGTGCACAAAGCCCAAAAAACCTTAACTGGGTGTTTCCATGTTCGCATGCTGAAAAGAACCCTTCGCTGTACATGCCTTAAGAAGGGTTTGGTTATTTGAAACTTCAAACTTGCATCACATATATATATATATATATATATTATATATATATTGTTGATAATTATAATAATATTAATTATTTTTAAATATAATGTTATGAGTTCATCCGTACAACCGAATTAATCCAAAAATTAGATAATTTTGTTAGTGTAAGGATTATCACATGGGTAAGAGGTAACTTTCTGTTTCTTTGGCCATGTATATAGCCCCGGCCCGCAGGAGAGTTTTCATATTAGGGCTATGTCAAAATCACAAGAGGTCGGCCCAATCAAACTGACCCTTCTAAAAACAAAATTGTGCAAATTTTTTTGGGTTATGTCAACATTAATAATTTTAGTAGGTAAATTGGTCATGAGATGTTAGAATATATTAGCTAGAAAATTATAAATAAAAACTAATTCCAATCCAGTAAAAATTTACCACCAATGGGTCTCGATAATACCTTTAAACTTTTAAATTAGAAAAAAAAAAAAAAAAAACAAAAGAAACATTTTGAAATTTTTAGAACAAACCCCAAGATATATCTTCAATGTTAAATTGGGAATATTGAAAAGAAATTTGTGTAAATTGACTCTCCTTTTCATACCAATGCTTTATAAAAGAAAAAAAATAGCAAATTACAACCTTACATGTTAACCGTTAATGATCCAAAAAAGGTTCCATTTTATAAACTCACCCATCTCTCTCCCTTTATCCATAAACCATAATGGAGATCAACTAAGTCATCCATTCTCTCTCTTTTTTATTTTTCTTCAATTCTCTCATTTCTCTGCAAATGCAACTTCCCAGTTACGCACCAAAAATTCTCCATTTGGCATCCCCAACCGTTTAAATAAAATCCCGCTATTTCAATTTCCCAC